AAAAAAAAAAAAAAAAAAAAGGCAAAAATGAGAAAAAACATTTATAAAAAATATCAACTGAAAAATCACTAAGAATTATCACTCCTCTCCCCTTGTTTAACTGTTGCTTCTATCCTGAACCTAATGTATCTGCCATAGCTCCATGATGCACTGTCATTGACTTGAAACAAAATTCAGCAAGTTGTCCATGTGCATAAGGCTTCAACAGGTTGTTCTTGTGCATAAAAGAAAACGTAAGTCATTAAGGCATCCATAGCCAACCTCTACACTATTCACACCAACCTTTCTGGTATAAAGGAGAAGTAGTAGCTGTAAGGCTCTTCAACAATTCCAACCCAACAACCAAGACTTACTGGTAATGTCAATTAGAACAACTCTAACTGTGATCTAAGTTGCATCAAATGCCAAACCAGCATCCAGCTGGCCCCAGAATTCAGTAGTATTAAGGTGTCTGAGAGCCACCTTCTCCTCACCACCACCGGGGTTCTAGTCCAATTAAGGTTCTGTCCCCAAAATTACACTTGAAATGCTATAGATGTGGGGCACTCACCTTGGCTTTATTCTTAAAGATAGACTTGGGGATCATATCATAGGGAACATGAGTTGCCAAAATCCTGGGAGATGGGAACTGCTTCAACCTCTATAAAAGCAAACCAAAGAATGAGAATCACTTTGTTATATTTGTACAAAAGTGTTGGCATATGTGAGCTAGCCCCTTATGCTAATCAAAGAACATCAATTATCTAAGTCTTTTTTCTTCAGGAAAAAACCCCCACATGCTACATGACTAGTGTGCATGTATGTGTGTATGCAGCAGGTAGAAAAACAATGCACTTCATTTGTTTTAATCATTTCTCCCCACTAACCTGGTATTTTTCTGGATCTCCACATTCAATAAATGGCAGTTCTGAGGTTTTGGTTTTTTTCTGTAAAGTTGTAAAGGTTAGGTCATTTAAGATCTGGATAAGCCAGTTGGCACCTGGACAAAGAAACAAGCAAACTAAAATAAATACAATAGATAAGAAGCTTATAAAAGATCTCAGAACCTTCCCATTATAGTGGTTTAGTACTGTGGAAAATGCATTTGTCAATGTGCAAATAATACTCTCCCAAAACTCTCAAGACACTAAGCAAAATTAAATCTTCAGTATAAAGAAGCTAAATAGGTACCTGACAGCCTGCACCTTAGGCTGTATGTTGCCCAGATTCCATAAAGGTCAACCATACTTAGAATTAGTGACATTTGACTTCATTGGAATCCAACTTAGTCATGAATGTACTTGTGTTTTTTAAAAAATATATATTTATAAAACAGAAAGTAACAGTAAAGGGATCCTAGCTCCTATCTATGAAAAAACAAATGTAGAAGATGGGGGGGAGGGGGAGAAAGACCAGCAAGATGCTAAATTATTAAATCTGATGGAAAGTTATCAGCTATCTACCATAAGGAGCAAACAAGAGGTACCACACACAGATTTTATAAATCTTCCTCTGTATGGAGTCTGAACCACCCTGTCACATCTGCTCTTCGCCACCTGATGGAGTTGCTCTAATGAAGTTATACCATTGGGTCATTCCCACCTATGTCTGTCTCTTGCAGTCTCCTCTTCAAAGGTTTCTAGGCACTGAGAATGCTCTGCTCAAAAGACAATGAAGCATGGTACTACTGGTTGTTGAAGGAATACTAGGTAACAATCTGTTTTCTCCCTGGGCCACAGCATCATTCCCCTGTCCTTGTGGAGAGCTCCTTGGAAGGCTTTCCTCAGGGTATGTGGAGATAATGCTGTAATACTGGCTGACCCAACCTTTTGTGCATTGAGACTCCCATGTGCATGCAGCTGCTAGAGATGGTAACGAGAAATGCAAGAGGCAAACTGTTTAAACCTCAGGCTCTCTGTGGAAAAGCTGTTCCCTGAAAGACTACCCTTGCCTGACTCTTCTTTTCTCTGACTACCCCACTCTGCACAGACTGCTATTTTCTTGTATTAACCTCAGATTGTAAGCCCACTTAAGTAGAGACTTTTCTGTCTTTATATTAGTCTGGAAAGCACTATACATACCTGTGGTGCTAGATAAATAAAAATCTCTACTGTGGTTTCTTTCTCTGTAAAAGACAGTTAATTACATGAAGGGGTGATATTTGCCTTCAAACAAATCTTAAGCAACACTGTCCTGCATAGATATACCCTTCAATCCAATTTAAGAACTAGGAGTCTTAAGAACTGTAAATAGAAGCAAGAACATTAGTATCTCATAGTTTCATAGTTCCTCCACAGACATGTCCCTGCCTGCACATTGCATAACATCCATGCACAAATAAGAATTTGATTTCTAAAGCAAGGTTATCTGATAGGCCTAAAATAACAAATCTTTTATTTTCCCACCTGCTTCTCAAATATCTGGTATAACATGAATCGACATGTCCCTTCAACTCACACCTTACCAAATATTTTCCATATCAGTTGTTGTTTACTCATCTATTATAGGCCATAGAGTTGTGGGAAACATTTCATATAAGTGAGATTTTTTCTGAAGATTAACTTTCATAATCTGTAATGAATTGCAGAGGATAGGATAATGCTAAAGCTCTGGAGGACAAAAAGAAACTTGGAGAGCTTTCCTCAGGTCTGATCCAAAGAGGTGCTGAATATCTAAAGTCAGTGGGAGACAGGGAGTTCAGGAGATAGTCAGCTCCTTGAAAGTTTGGGCCCAACAGAAGAAACACGATAGCTTAAGAAGCCAGAATCTTGATTTTATGGCATGGCCAAATAGCTGGACTCTGTTCCTGTAGTGATGATGATGATGATGATGATGATGACGATGATGATGATGATGATGATGATGATGAAGTGAGTGTCGCCACACTCATATGTCAGAAGCACAAGGGCCAGAAAGCCAGCAACAGGTAGAATGGTCAATGTCAATAAGACCATGGGCAACCGAAGGAGGGCCATAAGGGCATTCATAGATGATGTGGTCAGCCATCTGAGCTTAAGCACTACAGCAGCAGCCAACATCGTTGAAAAGGCCCCAAAAGTGCATGCTCGTCCTAAATCATCCAACACCCATTCTAAGACAGTTAAGAGCAGTCCAGGCCCTGCAGGGCAGCTGCCAGCCTGCAGGGCAGAAGCTGGTGCTGGGAATGAAGGGCACCTGTATGCAAGCATGGAGGCTGCTCTGACATGCTGTAATTACAGTGTGTTGGAGCAGATTCAATTAATAAAGCCTGCTGGAGCATGGTAATTATCCCCATGCTTAAAAATGGTGGTAGGGGCACCTGAACTCAAGCTCATTGAATGAGCTTGAGTTCAAGTGCCCTCACTGCCATTTTTAAGCACAGGGATGCTGATACATGAGACACAGTGGGGCTTTAATTAGAGTGGCTCCCAGAGCCACTCCCCACCCCTGGAGCATGTGTATAAGTGCCCAAAGTCCTTTAGCTGCAGTTCTTCTGCAGCACGTTCCTGCAGTAAAAAGGTGTGCAGGCTAATTTGTGGCTCTTGGGCTCAGTCCTAGAAAGTGCTAAGCACCCTTCTGACTGCTATACCAGTGGGACAAGAGCATGCGCAGCAACTCACAGTTTTAAACTGCACAAACCAATTTATTCTTTTTTCATCTAATTCTTTATCCCCCCACACACACTCCTTTTTCCTAAAACTCACAAGATCAAATTTAAAAAATATCCATTTAATACTAGTTACGAGTGTGAGCTCAAATATCCATGTGATATGAAATTCAAGTGGGCAAATAAAAAGGTTTCCCCAGCAATGCTCACTGCTTTAACGTGCACATATGTAGTATTCCCAATTCCTTTCTCCCTTGTTCAGTGTACCCTTTATCAAATGTCTTCCATTAATGTATGCTGCCTCCCTTTGCTGCCTATAACACAGTGGCAGGTTTCTCCTTCTGCCCCACACAGTTACAGGTACAGGAACCCTGCTGGGAGCTGTTGGGTCATTCTCGCTGAATGATTACTAATGTCTGTCCCTCATCTAAATTTCCCACCCATGATTTATCACCAGCTGTCTTTGTGTCAGCAGAGGTGACATCATGCAAAGCTATTAAACAGTGGTGGCATTTGAAATCCAAGCCAAATCCAAACTATATAAATGGCCCCCTCCCTTTATATTGTGGCAGATGTAGCACAGATATTGCATTTTGAGCCCATCTCCCACATTTTGCATTTGTCCTCACCTCCCCCTACCCCCTGCTTCCTGTCTCACCAGAGCATTTCTTCAACAACGTCAACATATTTCTTAAGCCCTTACTAAGGCAAACCCCCATGCCAGTCATCGGGAGTTTATGCCTGAATTAAAACTGAGTGCTGAACACAACAACTCCAGGTGACTTAGTGGGAATGACAGGTTCTTTGCACATTTCAGAATAATTTAACTGTATCCTTTGTTCATTTTAACATAATGTATTTCTCAACCAAATAAATAAATAAAATAAATGCATATATGCATGTATTTCTAGTGGTTGTCCTCTGTAGATTATTTTGTCCTTTTCTGGACCCCTACACTTTCCTACAACCCCAACTCCACACCTCCTCCCTGCCAGATGCACACAACCTGGTACCTAAAACAAAAATAGATGACTGGAAGGGACTTGGGTCTTGAAATCCTGTCCTCTGCTCTCACAGGCAAGCACAACATACAATCCCTGCCATGAGCTGACCAAGCTCCATCTCAAAACTGACTAGGAATTTTGAGCATTCTGCTCCCATGGGAAGTCTGTTTCTCTTTGAAAAGCACCAGAAAAAAGAGCATGGACTACTAGCATATTATGTTGTAGACCCTTTTTGTAGTCCAAAGGTGAACTCTATTATATTTATCAAAACCAGCTTAAAACTGAAAAATGTTATACAGCAGTTTCAACTTCTGAAAAAAACATACACTATGTCCTGTCACATTCTCTCCTAACTGACAGCAATTATTCCTGCATTGTGACATACAACTCCATTCCATTTTCACACAGCTCACTAAGGTAATTACAAGATGAAGAGCATCGAGTTTCTTCCCCAGTGCACATATAAGAGACTATTTTGTTTTCATGCATCTTCTCCGGTACACAACCACCCACAGCACTAAACAATTACAACGATTACCCCCTTTCAGATCAACATATTGAAAAGAAACAGTGTAAAAGGCTGCAGATTTAAAATAAAACATTCCTGTCTCTGTATCAGAAATGCCTAAGGTAATATCCCTGCAAAATAATTATTCAGCATTAAAAAACACCATTAATTTCTTATTTTCCCTCTTATAACTTACTACATGTTTTAGTATAGCAAGTAATAATTATTTATGCTGTATTCACCACATTTGGGGTAGGACACCAGCACGATATCATCTTTTCTGGCTTCTAAGTTCTCCATAGCCTGGAATGTCTCTGCACTGCACACAGTGGAGGGATACGGGATTCCCTTATAAGAGAACAGCAGATCCTTAAGGGCAAACCCTTCAGACTTTGCTAACGCTTTCTCTATTTCATCAACCAATTTGCTCTGGTTACCAGCCATTTTTGTCGCCTTTGGTGTGTGAAACTACTATATCTAAGTAACAAGTGCCTTTAAATAGGCATCTGAAGGGGTGGAGTGAAAAATGCTGGCATTATTTGTCTCAATACAACACAAAGCAGGTCAGGTTGCACACTATGTGCAAACCCAAAGTGATCAAGTAGTTTTCCTTCTCTCTTCCCTCCCCATCCTCCTAGGAATAGAGGCAGGGCCTGATCTTGCCATTCTTCCAAAGAGTAGGACTGACTCTTGTTAGAAGTCCCGCTGAAGACAAGAAAGAGGATTAAGCCCCCTGAGAGAAATGGCAATAGGAAATGGATTACATTGTAGGAATAGGCTGCAAAATATTAAATTTAATCCTATGTAACATTAGCAGGAGGAAAGCTTCTCACACCAATGTTAAGTGGTTTTAGTTTTGTCAGCAAGTTCAACCCTATGCAGGGGCAATGCATACAGGGCGCACGTGGGTGCACGTGTGCCCCTGAGCATGGCAGTGCACCCCCTACAAAAAGGCGCTGCCGAAACTGTTGGTGGTGCCTGCAGGCGGTCACCGCTTGCCCTTGCACCCCACCACCGACAGCATCATCTGTGGGAGCTCCCACTTACCACCACCGTGTTACTGCCATGCTCACGACATCCCCCCCCCAGCCACTGGGGGCATACATCGTTCATGACCCTATATCACTGATTTAAAAGAAACAGAAAGTGTACACGTACTAAGTAATAAAAGACAAGACTACAAAAGCCATAAAACAAAACAAAATAAAAAAATCCACTTGATTCAAGGAAAGTACAGTAAAAGCTTTGTTATCAGGCACCCCCGGGGAATGGAGGGTGCCAGATAACAAAATAGGCCGGATAACTGAGCGGCCTGAACAGGCGTCTTTGCCTGTTTGGGCCACTGCCTGTCCCGCTGTGTCTGGGGCGTCACCACTCCTCCCGCCATGCTGCTGCCCCTCCCGCCACATCGCCATCCCTCCCACGGGCTCCATGGGCCCTGCAGGACAGGGAGGAGGGACCCGTGCAGGCTGCTTTGCCCCAGGCCGTAGGGGCTCCACGAAACCAGAAGTGCCATGGTGGGCACTTCTGATTTCACTTTTCCCTTACAAACCCTTACAAGCTGGCATGCCAGTTAACAGAGCATGCCAGTTTGTAAGGTGCTGGTTAACACAGCTTTTGCTGTAATGCTAATACCATAGCCTAAAAGTACCAGAGGCCTTTTAGACACTAAGGCCCATTCTGAAGGCTACTGTATATTAATGTCTCTCTTTTATGTTAAAAGACAATAAAAAGCTGAAATCTTAACTAATTTTGCAATCCCAAAGATAAGCATTAGATCATTTCCAAATGGTTTGGTTTTACATGTTCAATCAAGTTTTCCTGTAGCAGTGAGCTCAAAGACAAAACAGGACTTCCTAGTAGCAGCTAAGGGGCTTTTCATAAAAAAAGAGAAAAATAGGCCTAGAAGGTCATCTAGTCCAACCTCCTGCTCAAGAAAAGATCACCCTTAGATAATCTATCGCATAGGAATATCTAACTATTTCTTAAAATGTGGCACTGGGATGGGTGGCTACGGAGGGGGCTATGGCAAATTTTGAGGCTGCTATAGCCCTTCCTAGCACCTCCCCACCACCATGGGTAGTGCTATAGTCCTTCCCTAGCACCACCCATGGAAATAAACAAGCTTGGGGAAAGCAGACTGAAGCAATTGTGCCTACTACAGCAGTGATGCTCAACCTTTCAGCCCTGCTGCCTGCATTAGTGGTGCAGGCACCATATGCCAAATTCAACTGCAGAGTAACCCCGTGCGTTGGCTTGGGCCTACATGCGTCTGGTCATGGAGTGACCCCGAGTACTAGTTCTTGTTGAGCGCCACTGCACTACAGCAATCTCCCTTCCAAAGTCTAGAAAGGAATATGAGATCCCTTCATTCCTCTGCTGCCAGCAACTACCTGTGAAAGGCACTGACAAAGTATGCACCACAGTGACTGTCACTTAGAGAACAAGAACCTGCTATTGCTAGTGCTACATGTTACTGTCAGCTCATGTGGCAAAGGTCAGCGTATACAGAATGCATGAAGGCTTCAATCCAGCTCATGGTTCATGTGCATGTCAACAGGATGCCACATAATAGAAAAACTGGAAGCTAAAGTCTACCACTGGTGGTGGACGGGTTGATGTCGACCTGGGAGGGTGTGGGCAGTGGAGTCCCCCAGGGCTCGGTCCTTGGG